TTGTGGACTTGGCTGACTGCAGCTCGCCAGCGCGCAAGAGAGGCTGGAGCCAAGCTAGGCGGGGGCAACGCGCACAATGTGTTTCTTGTTAGGGACTCCCAGGCCGGGCCAGGTTTTGCTCTTGGTGCGACATTATATTAAGAAGTAGTTTGATTCCGGACAAGCCCGCCCTTGTTGCAGGCTGCTTGCGGGTTCCCACGGACGCCAGTGGGCAGACGCGGGTGGCCTGGGCGCTGCGCTCGCTCGGCGCGTCGGACTGGGGGGCGCCCTGCGGGCTGCGGCCTGGGGTCCCGGCAGTGACCCCGGCTCCCGTGGTGGCCCGACCCGCGGTGCGCGCCTCTCGGTGGTGCAGACTTGGCGACGCCAGCCCCAGCTCTCGCCAGTTCGCAGGCGGCCAGAGATTGTTTTCCAAGACCGTATCACTACGTCCAGTTAATTTTTTTTTTTTAATTTGGTGACCGGAATAGAAGTCCCAGGAAAATCCTTTGTGAATGCCAAATGTGACCGCAAATCGGGGCACTTCACAGTGTTGGAAACAAAATATTTGTGGCTCTCTATAGTTAAATCGTACTCTTCCGCCAAACTTCTCAAGCTTTCTTTGACATGGCTGGAAAATGATCTTCTAAAAGGGGATCAGAAGGTGGCAAGCAATTGGGTTTGGCACGACTCCTTTTTTATTAAACCTGGGGCTCGAGATACTCAGGTAAACAGCACCGTGCGGGAATCCTAGAAGGAGTTATGACCGGAATTGTGGCAGGGCGAGGGCAGGCCAATTCAAGGCTAAACCATTGTAGTAGCAGCGGCGCTTTGCTAATGCCATTTATTAGCTGTGTATGACACGAAGTGTAAGAGGTTAGGCAAGTGTTCAAAAAAAAAAAAAATACCCCAAAGAGAAAAATAAACTTCCTCTTGTTTGTTTTTCGTGGCTTTGCTCACTCTCCTTCATCCCTAGCGCCCCTCATCTGAGGCCTTTTTAAACCCAAATTAGGTTTATCTGGTTGCAGGATAAGGGCTCCCTCTTGCCAAGGTATTAAATAAACACGTAAAGAAAAAACTCGAGTCCTTATGCAACCCAGATGCTTTTTCCTCGAAAACCACTACAAACCCGGATAAGAGAGATAACAGCCCTGGCCGGTTGTGCGCCTCACCCCCTCCCCCAAATTCCCAGCAATCCCCCCCCCACACACACACACACACCACGCCCTTGGGTTTTAGTGCCAGCAGAGAACGATTGTGTTCGGGATCTTTTCTGCAGGGCAGGGAATGAATAACTGCCGCTAAAACTCTCCGCCGTGGATGGGCACCCTTGAGGGATCCGGGTGTCATAAACTATCCGGAAATGTTGGCATCTGGTTCCTAAAAGGGAACTTCCCCTGGAGATAAAATCCCAGACAGAGAGAGAAGGTGTCAGCGTCTCCAGGCTGACTTTCGAGTTTCTGTACTCTTGGTGATGTCAGGCAAAAACTCAGCACAGTGGAGGGGCTCGCCCACCCCCTAACATCCCCCCCCCCGCGCGCTTTTGTATCGGAAATGAGCACGCACACAGTTGCGGGAGCAGCACGCTGAAATGCAGAGGAGCCAGAGGACCGCAAGCAGCAGAACAACCTACCATCTCTCAGGGTGGGGCGTGGGGCTGTTCTGGAAAAGTCTGATGCCTTTTGCATAACCACTAAGGATTCCTAAGATTATGTCAATAGAATGAGGGGGAGGGGGAGGATAGGGGTCCTTCAAAGTTTTTTTTTTTTTTTTAAATCCAAGCCATCCAGGCAAGGATCAAGAAGATCGAGGGAAATAAATAAATCTTGCCCTGAGATGAGACAGTGACCTCCTTCGCATCCACTTCTACCCTCCCTCCAGCTCCACGCCTCTGTTGCAAAAACATGAAATAAAGCAAAACCTTTCGCTTTGGCAACGTCCAAGCCACATCAACGGCCCCTTTTGCGAAGCGAAGGCAGAATTCTTTCTTCTCCCTCTCCTGGCTTTTTTTCCCCTCGATCTCCTACCCCCCTAGATACACACACCCTTTCTCCAGTTCTTTTCTTCTTGGTCCTCCTTCCTTCCCCCAAATCATTCGAAACTTAAGACTTGCAGAGGCTGCAGGTGCGCGCAGGCTGACGGCCCGGTCAGGGCGAGCCTGGGACCGCCGGGCCTTGCAGGCATTGATCAGCTGGGCGCGCGCGCTGAGTGACGGCGCCGTTGCCATGGCAGCCGCCTGAGCGGCGCCGCGAGGACAAGGCTGCAGGGCGGCGTGAATGGGCGGCGTCACACGCCTGGCGCCAGAGAGTCTGCTCCGGGGCTCCGGCTCCGGCCCCGCCGCGGCCTGGCCCGCGCGCCGCCGCCGCCGCCGCTGCTGCCAATTCATCACCTGTCAGGGATCACTCGGGGGGTCACGGGCGGAATGGACACAGCTGTGAGAACAAAACCGAGGGGAAGAAAGGCGAGAGCTCCCAATTGCGCCAGATGTGCAGAGAGGACCTTGAGACTTGCCCCCGCCGCGCCGGCTCCTCCCGCCCCCTCCCAGTGCCATCGCGCGGGGATAGTAGCCAAGGAGGCCGGGCCCGAACCTGCTTCTGATTACCGCGCGTGGCCTGGACACGGTGGGGGGATATGAAGGGGGTGGCTGGGCTCGGGGAACTACAGAGTCGGCTGTTGCTTTAAGCGGGGGGGGGCGTCCCAGTGGGTAGCTGGGGCGGCCAGTATTTCCACCACCAGCAGCCCCCACCCTATCCCCCCCCCCGCCGCCGGAAGCCCTTCACACCTTCCCACCACCCACGGATCCCTCCCTTACTGCAGCTGGGCGCGTCCTGCAGCTGGGACCATTTGAACTTCAGAGCTCTCAGATGAAAATCCACATCCACACCAATTGGCAGATTTTTTTATATGCTATTATAAGCCTCCCCGAAAAAAGGCTCCCACCCCATCCTGGGCCCCCAAAACATAATTTCAAGAAATGTCAACCCGGGCTTGCTGTGACAGATTTATTAGTAACTCCGGCCTTTGCTCAGCCATTGACTTGCACAGTTTCACAATCCCCTTAAAATGATCTTTAAGTGAATGCAAAAACGGGGTAGTGTGCCAACAAAATCGGATTCAGCGCAGCCGGGCAGACTGGACTCTGGCATGGCAGCCAAAGAAAGAAACGCCAGAGAACTTTCACCATATTTAGCAATTTTACTATATCAGGGTACAAGAATGGTCTTGGGAGAAGGCGCTCATGCGTTGTTGCTATCTGCCAGTGTGTGTAGCGAAGCTGCACAGTGCTCGCTCGTTATCATCCAGCCCAGGGCCTTTCTGTTGGGATAATGAGGCTGGCACGGGCGCTAACATACGGTGTCCTTGGAAAAAGCTAAGAATGCGTCAGTACCGCAGAGATGCAATGTCCAAGAATCATAAGTAATAATTTGAGAATCCCAGAGATGTTTGTTTACATTGGCTATTATTGTAAAATACTCAAGAGTATAACATCATGAACCAAAAGTGTCAAAACAAAATCTGTTCCGCTGTGGCACGTATGTGACAGAAACACATGTACACGCAGTACATCATGAGGCTCGAACTGTGCGGGGACTCAGATAGTAAGCCACTTCCAGGCTTAATAACGGAGGCAGGAGAATTGTCAATCGAACTCTGTCACTGACTTGCAGGCAGCACTGCAGGGCTCGCGCAGATTTCCCTGCAGGGCAGTGTCCCTTTGCAGCCTCCACACCAAGGTGGCCTGATTTTACCACCTCTTCGCCACCGGACTCTGCCTCCCTAGAGAGAAGCCCAGGGGCACATGGCTGTCACGTGGAGGTCAGAGATTGCCTGGCCCACCAGCTGAAGAATTAATCATTAATTGAAGGGAAAATACTGTTCCCCCCACTACGTAGCGTTGCCCGGATTCTGCCTTCTTCCTCTTTCTTACATTCTTGTATGTGGTGGATGCGGGGGGGGGGGGGAGTCAACATGATACTACCAGTTTACCCTTTCCATTTTTATTTATTTTTTAGAGAAATAGTTTCCCTCCAATATACGGTAGTCTTCTGCAAAGCAAGGATTCAGTGTGAATTGAGAGTACTGGAGTCGAGAGCTCCAAACTTTCTAAAATGTTGCTGCATCTAAAAAGGGTGCCGAAAGATTCCTAACCTCATACGTAACAGCATTTGCTTTAATAACAGCGATAAGCTGTCAGTCAATACCTAGGACCACCTACCTGACAAAGAGCTTCCCAAGAGCCCAGAGTGCTGGAATGTGGCACCAGAAATCACGATTTGTGCATAATTAATCGCGTCACTTTGCCACCTACACTGAAGGACACAGACCAAGGGCAGTGTATGTAGTTCAGTGCGCAAACCCTACTGATGACCTCCGATTAATGGATTCATTATACCAACCCGGCCTCATTCTTGGGGGACAGAAGAGGGAGAATCCTGAACATGCTGAGTCCCTCGGGGCTCCTCTGCGGTCTGAGGGAGACCGCACAGAGTTCACTACAATACTCCTGTCACTGAGTTTCCCAGAAGGCCCCCCGCGTTTCTCCAAGTTGCAAAACCCCACGCTCAACCTGTCCTGAATGTGTACCTGGGTAGTTCTCTTTTCTCCCCCTTTCAAACATGGCTTTTCTTGATTTCAAAAGAAGGAACTCGCTCTGCAAACGTGATTTCCTAACGGCGCGCTTCTTTTCCCTTCAGCAAAGGTCGCTGTCTTCCCTGACGCTAGCGACCTATGACTTCCCCATTGCTGAGCAGAGACCTTGGGGCAGCAGGCAGCCCTGGGGCGGGGATGACTTGCTCCGAGCACATCCCCAGGGTGGGGGGGGGGGTCCTACCGTTCTGGGGATGGGAATCAGGCGTGCACATTTGCACACTCGGGGCCCCTGGACTACCAGCGCACACTGTACTCAATTTACCACCCCAGCTGGCTCACGCGCGCTCCGCCCACCCCACCGGCATTGGCTGCAAACGCGGAAGGACCGAGCGCTCTCACTCACCAATGAGAGAGCTCGTTCGGCATGATGGACGGTACCCCTTCCACCAATGGTGGCTGAGGGATGCCGGATCGAGTGGCCCGGGCGAGTGCACATAAAAGCCGCCCCGCCCGGCTCGCGCTTCATTCTGAGCCGAGCCAGGTGCCGCGCAGCCAGCTCAGCCCCCTGCGGCTGCTCCCTCCCGGCCTCTCCTCCTAAGAGCAGCATGAAAGCCTTCAGTCCTGTGAGGTCCGTTAGGAAAAACAGCCTGTCAGACCACGGCTTGGGCATCTCCCGAAGCAAAACGCCGGTGGACGACCCGATGAGCCTGCTCTACAACATGAACGACTGCTACTCCAAGCTCAAGGAACTGGTGCCCAGCATCCCGCAGAACAAGAAGGTGACCAAGATGGAAATCCTGCAGCACGTCATCGATTACATCTTGGACCTGCAGATCGCCCTGGACTCGCACCCCACGATCGTCAGCCTGCACCACCAGAGACCTGGACAGAACCAGGCGTCCAGGACGCCGCTGACCACCCTGAACACGGACATCAGCATTCTGTCCTTGCAGGTGAGACTCGCTCGCCAGTACCCCGCTGCCCGTGAGCTCCGGGTCGCCCGACCTGTCACTCTTAAAGTCTATGGTGGAGACAGGTTCATTAACTTTATTTTTTAAGAAAACTGCATCGAGCCTCACGTGAGATCGCTACTTAAGTTCTTCGGTATGGGCTGCGTCTGTAGCTGCCTTGTAGCATGAACCTGTTAAATGGGACTTGGCACTTTCGTAAAAGGAGTAGGGAGGCTGTCTTTTAAGATTGTCTAATACCCTGCCTTTTATCCTCTTCTCTCCAGGCATCTGAATTTCCTTCTGACCTTATGTCGAACGATAGCAAAGTACTCTGTGGCTGAATAAATGGTGAGTGTTTGGGGGTGCCTCCTGTGTGCGCGTTTTGGTAATGTGCTCGTGTGCGTCTGTAAAATGTTTGGTAAATGCATGCTTACTTCGCTGTATTATGGGTGCCTCTTGTCTTACCAGATAGGCATGAAGGGGCTTGTAGCAGTGGTTGTTCGAGATTACAGAACATTTGCCTTTAAAAAAGAAAGAAAAGGAAAAAAAAATGCCAGTAACTTATGGCAGGACAAAGTGTTATTACTGGCTTTTGTGAGCCCAGCGGTGGTACTATGAGGTACGAACCTCGGCTGTAATTAATCTTATCGCCACAAATTCCATAGTGATTCTCTTTTCCCAAAACTGCTGAGATTTCTCCAGCCAGCTGAGAATTGCTACCCTGAGCCTTGCCCCCTGTGCTCTGGGATCCAGATTTCCCTATCTGTTGACTATAGGGCTGTTTTCAATCAAATAATTGTTACAAGAAGCATACTGGCTGGCGCCTGTGAGCGGGCTGTTAGAGATCCAAATAGGAGACTGGGTTTGGGAAGTTTCTCCCTCGAGTCTCTGTTATTTTCATGTTTAATTTGTGCTGTTGAGGCCGGCTATGTGTGCCGCATCTGGACGCCAGGGCCAGGGTTTGGTTTAAATGCTCAAACTGTGGCTTCCCCGGCGCCAGGCTGACCGCCTCTGCCCTTAGGTTACTCACCCCTAAGCTGCTTTTCTCTACCGATCTTTTGCAGGCATCTGAGGACTTTTTTTCTTTCTTTCTTTTTTTTTTTTTTTACTTTTTCTTTTTTGCACAAGAAGTCTACAGAATCTTTTAAGTTGCTGAACTTTTTTTTTCTTTCCAACCATTTTCCCAGGAGAACAATTTGAATGGACCTTTTTAAAAAGAAAAACAAATGGAAGGAAAAGGGAGAGTGATCATCTTCCCCAGGAGTTCTCCAGGCCGGACTGTGATACCGTTATTTATGAGAGACTTTCAATGCCCTTTCTACAGCTGGAAGGTTTTCTTTATATACTATTCCCACCATGGGGAGCGAAAAACGTTAAAAATCACAAGGAATTGCCCAATTGAAGCAGACTTTACCTTTTTTCAAAGGTGGAGCGTGACTACCCGAAGGACCCAGTATTCGGTTACTTAAATGAAGTCTTTGGTCAGAAATGGCCTATTTGACACGAGCCTACTGAATGCTGTGTATATATTTATATATAAATATATATATATATATATATTGAGTGAAACCTTGTGGACTCTTTAACTAGAGTTTTCTTGTATAGTGGCAGAAATACCCATTTCTGCATAAAAATGTAATGACGTACTTAATGCTAAACTTTTTATAAAAGTTTAGTTGTAAACTTAACCCTTTTATACAAAATAAATCGTGTGTTTATTGAATGTTGATGCTTGCTTTATTTCAGACAACCAGTGCTTTGATTTTTTTATGATGCTATGTTATAACTGAACCCAAATAAATACCAGTTCAAATCTATGTAGACCATATTAAGATTATAATAAAATGTGTCTGACGTCAATACCTGGACTCTGAATGATTCTTGAGATGGCCAGTGCTTGCTTAGGCCACAGCCTTCTCACCTCTATCACATAAGTGTTCCATGCCAGCCAGAGACGGACGGTGGGCAGACTACACACCTAGCAGTTTGGTTCTGTGCCTTGTGTTGGGACAGGGTTTAAAGCAGGATTTGTGGAAGGTAACTCCCTAGAGTTAGGTCATTGACAGTCTAGAAAGTGTACAGTCAAGAAGGACTAGTGTCTGGGTGTGTGGAAAGACACTTGAAGCAAGATCCAGATTTAGAAAGAGGAAAAAAGGGACCTTGACTCTCACCTTTTGCCGGTGGGAATTAAGCTGTCAAACCTGACCCGAATCCCAACCCTCCACTGCCCTCTCTTCCTCCACCTGTAGCTCACACAAGCCTGCCTGGGCCAGCTGCTTTCCCAGTCCCATGGCTATTAAGGCGCTCTTCACCTGTGACTGCTATCTGAACTGCAAGGAGCAGAAGGAAGGTGCTAGAGATAGGGAAGCCCCTCCCACTCACCAAAAAAAAAAAAAAAAAAAAAAAAAAAAAAAAAGACTCCAGTATTACCACCTAACCAGATCCCTGAGGACACTGGGCAGCTATTTACCTATGCCTTCTATGGCTGCTTAGACTCTGTTCCCAAGTTGGAAGTGACATGGGGTGGGGTGTTTCTGGAAGGTGGTCCTGGGAGGACTGGCACAGTCTATGAAAGGATGGGACAAGGGACACCAGTGTGCACATCTCACCTGGTGCCACTTTTCTAGGCCAACCAGGTGTTTGGGTGGCGCCTGCTAGTCTGCTTTGGCTGAGGTGTTTCCTGGCCCCTGACACTGAATCCATCAGGGCAAGTGGAGGAGGGGCAACTTTGGTTCCGGTGGTCCCCGCCTCTTTCCTGCGGGGCGGGCTCCTCAATGATTACACCAGGGGATGCATGCTTTGGCCCTTACACCTGGGCTGGAGACTGCCCCAGGAGCCGAGACAGCCACTCAAAACACTAGTCACCTGTCGCTTACTATAGCCCCTGTATGCACACCCGGCCAACCCAGAATGCGCTGCGTCCCCCGACCTGCACCAAAGCGGGAAGGAAGTACCAGGACAATTTGCCGCCCCACCCCACCCCCCTCAGCCTGGTGACTGCCCCTTCTCATCCTCTGCCTGGGTGGCAGTGAGGATCTGACCCTAAAGTGCAATTGTGATACATTCACCACAGGGCCCTTCAGATGCCCACCTGTGAGGATGCTGGACAACCCACACCGCTCTCAACAGGTGATGACTCCTAACCCGCTGCAGCCCTGGAAAAGTGGAATCTTTTAGAGGGGACTTGTGACTGCAGCTGATCACGCCGTGGAGGCCGAGCGCCACCTGCTGCCAAAACGTGAGTATCGCTGCTGGCCTACGATTTTTGCTGTCCCTCGGCAGGTGTGGTTGCTGGGAGCAGGTGACTTGGTCTCTAGCATTATCCTCACCCAGCTCTGGCCTTGCTTCTAGAAATGATGAATGCCATCCCTAAAGACTCTGCCTCTGGCACGTGTATATAAAGCCGTTCCACCCTCCAGAAGGCTTCAGCAGCAAGTTTCCCCTTCATGGTCTCTAACTTTGCCTTTAACGGTTACTTTTCCTGAATTGCTTAATGCCTTTTAACCAAATGTTAAGTTAGCAGAATAGGATGAGAGTGAGCAATATTTTCCTACTCCAGATCTTAATATCATTTCCTCCTCCACTGTGTAAGATGTGGGTCCAGATAGTTCATGTAGTTTATCAGTTTTTGAAAATTTTCTCTCGGCTTATAACTTTTGGTAATTTTGATACTTTTCAATCATAACACAGTGGCAACATTCTCATATTTCATTTGCCTTTTTTTGTTCATTACATAAGTTTTTAATTTCCTTTCACTGATGTATTTGATTTGCAGTGCTGGGGGCCAAACCCAAGGCCTCAGTAATATGAGGCAAGCTACGACCTTAGCCCTTGATAGAATTTTCTCTGCAAGCTCCCTGTTCTGAAACAAGCTGTGCTTTCTAAAATAACTCTGACCCCAGTGTGATGTCGATTTGTTGTTTTGTTTTGTGGCTATATCTACCACAGATTCTGTTAAACCCAGTATTTTTATTTTTATTTGTAATTTTGAGAAATAAAGGACTGACTTTTTCCTCATACTATCCTACCCTTGGTTTTGGAACAATAGTTATACTAACTTCAAAGGATGAGAGTGGTTGGTTTTTTCTAAGTGTCCAATGCTGAGGTCAAATCTTAAAGAGGAGAACAGATGTATAGTCCTTCCGTATAATAGAAACTGGACTTGGATGTGTCCCACACAGCCAGTCTGTGAACAAGCCAATTCCATCTGTCATTGCTTCCTGTCAGTAGAGGGGCTTCCAGACAGAGCTGATCCAACAGCAATGAGTTCAGTATTCTTGCCAGTCAAAAATTGAAATTCTTAAACTCAGTGATCCCTTTCCTCAGGGCACCTTTGGAGTTCTCATGACTTGCTATTAGAAGGGGGAGCTCCAGGCTTAGGGTGTTTCTGTGGCATGGACCGACCTGCAGTTTGACACTTTTCCCCCTAGCTTATGATGGAGCATAGCACAGCTATTCCCTGGGAGCTCACTGAGGCCAGACTTTCTTGAAACAGAGTGATGGTAATGACCTATAGAAGACCTTGACCTGAAGTGTCATAAACAGAACAATCAAGCTGATAGCTAGCTCTATGGTGACAATAGTGTGCCTAGGCATTGTCCTACACAGGAGGAGGAGTCAGAAGACCCTGGCCTGAGAGTCCAGGCAACCCTCTCTCTTGCAGTATATATAACCCTGCCTGTGAATTACCCATGATCCTGTAAGTAAATAACTGCAATAGACCCTTTATGGACTCTTTAATCTATGAGTACCCTCTTTCTCCACATGCATAGGCATTCCATTACATCTCCCCAGGAAGAGTCACACAGCACATGTTAGATTTGCAATGGCAGCAAGATGATCCAAGAAGCCTAGGGCTGGGCACTCTGTTCGGTGAAGTCGGCGCTGTGTGGAGATTTCCTAAGGGCACAAGCAAGGAAAGAACAGAATGCCTTGAGCACTGCACATGCACCTGGAGCAGCCGCACGTGAAGCAGACCTTCTAAACATGCTGAGGCTTTGGCCAACACAACCGAAGACAAGATGTGATGATCTGGGGAGGCAGACTGTATTAAAACATAAATCATTAGCCCAGACCTCAGACAGGCCAATAAAACAGCCCAGTGCCTGGGCATCTCCCCTTGGAAAAATGTATCTGCCCCTTCACTTCGTGAGACACCCAGTGGGGTCCCTCCTGTGGATAGTTTGGGGTCAAGCATTTCCTAGTAAGAGAGATAAACAAGGCCAACTTAAAGCCAGTACTGGGTACAAGCTGTGTGAGTATGACTGTCCTTGAAGTGACCTGACAAGGGGAAATCCCTATTTGTCATCTCATGATGTATGCTTGGATGGGTCCTACATATGCTTTAAATTATGGACATACGCACAATGCAGGAGCAAACTGTCCTAAGTTACGTAACAGCTCATCTATCAATCAGGTTAGGATTAAACCCATTCCTGATGGCTTCCAACCACTTCCTCCCTCCACCTAAATACATTAGAAAGCAAAACAAAACAAAAAACCATACGAAGAACCCAGAGCTCTTCAGCAGCCTCTTACTCTGGCCAACGTCCATTCTGCAAATCTACCCTACACTAAACTCTGGCTTTTAGTAACTGTATACTTGAGTATGGTCACTATGTTTTTTCCAGTCTGTTGCTTTAGAGACCAAGAACCTGGACTTTATGTCAAGGCATACACACACACACACACACACACACACACACACACACACACACCCTCCGCCCATCTCAGCTCAGGAATGGAGAGAGCTTCTTTTCAAATTTACAACCACCAATTGCTCTGGTCTGGAGTTAGGACGTTAAGAGTTAATTAAGATTGAATTAAGATTCTGAGGGGGGTGGCACCCAGACTACCTGAACGATGAAAATGAAGTTTTGGGGGATTTTGGTGTTTTGTTTTTAGAGAGAGAAAGAGAAGAGAATGCACAGAATTCTCCCATTTAGTGGTGGGGTAAAAGGCACTTATAATTTAAAAATATAACTGACACAGCAAACAATGTACTGTGTAGGATAAGCAGCATATACAGTGAAGATGAAGATCACAAAGCAGAAGAACTATAGCAAAGTGATTGGGGAAAAAAAGCATTAATTTCAAACAATTAAATAATGAAAATAAATAATTAACTGAAAAACAAAAACAAACCAGTTGTGAAGTGTTAAGTCTCTCTGGGACAAATGGAGGAAGGTGTCTATTTAACATATGAAAGTAAGACCTGGCCACCAGGTTCTCCCAGCATCCCTCACTCCCTACCTGCTACAGGGTACTGCTGGCCTACCCTACCCTCTACCCATCCCCCCCAACTCTCCAGCCCTGGGGCTGGGCTGCCCCCTATATAATCTGGACATTTTGGTTACGGTCCCCTTTTTACCTTCTGGCCTCTCGGCTGCTGCACCTGGCTCCCCCTCGACCTTTTCCTCCCTGCCCCCCCCACCTCCTCACTTAGCTCAGGGTCACCCTCACTCTGGACTCTCCCAGAAGTCTCTGCCTTCAGCTGTACTTACTCTCCCTTTCGTCTACGATTAACTTTCTCCTCCACCATACCTAGGTGCAGCCCCGTCCTTCTTTTTGTATTTCTTTTTCTCATTCAATAAGCAAACCACAAAAATGCCCATATTAAAAGGGTAAGATTTCAAAATGCATAGAATAGAATAATAGAATAGTCACTGAAACTCCAAACTCTATGCACATGCTAAAATCCAGGTTAGAAACCACTGAAGGAAAAGGCAATAAATTGGGGAGAGACGTCACACAGTAAGAGCACGAGAAGTCAGCGAAGAGAGAGCCACGTGAATGAGGAAGGATTGACTACAGCTGCAGCTACCGCAGGACCCCTCACAGCCGGCAAGTGAGTATTAGGT